CGATTCAAAGAGTACTTATGCAGCACCCACGAGTACCATGCAGGACAGCACATGTTTCCTTTACTCCGACTGACATTCATTACCTACATTCCATTCCAGCACTACCGTTGCACTGCAGCAATGTATTGTGTATAGCGTTGTGTTACATGACACTGCAGTGTTGTATTGCATTGGGTTGCACTGCGAAGTTTTGCAGCGCGTTTCATGGCATCAATGCACTGCATACTGCATGCATACATGCCTGCATGCATGCATACTACGTACGTGCATACATGTATGTATGTATTCATATATTTATATATGTATATGTATATCTGATCATGCATACAAACATCCACGTATACATACATACAAGCATACACACGTACATACAGACATAGATACATACATATCTGCATACGTCCATATCCATCCATCCGTCCGGTCCGTCCGTGTCCGTTCTTAACTCCTGCCATCCTTCCACCCACCCATCCATCTATCCATCCATCCATCCATCCATCCACCAATCCGTCCCACCAACTAGGGAGCCAGCCATCCATCCATGCATATTTTTATGTAAGTTTACATGCATGCATATGTGTGCATACTTGTGACTTGTGCGCATATGTTTGACAACATGTGCACATGTAACCATAACTGCATCTGTTATGAGCATCACATGAGTTTAAGAAATATTGCAGTAGGTGTAAGACATAATTAAACATAAAACATAATAGCAACATTAAGTTTCATATCATGAATAAATATGACAATTAACAGCATGAACAAAACTGTAATACGCATACGAATAACGACAATAATGAAACACACAGTTATAGCAATATTCGAGACCATAGCGCTAAATAACAGCAACATGAGGAATAACCATAATAGCATTGTTGTTGCTGCTATGTTATTGTTAGTGCTATGTTTATGGATCCTGCTATCGATTTTATGATTATGATTACTATTGTTACGACCATTATGAATAGTACTGTATATACCACACACACACATCTACATATCGGTGTTTATATGTATGTGTGTACATATGTATGTATATAAAGAAAATAGATAGATGCATACGCGTCGGTCCGTCCGTCCGTCGCTCGGGCGGTCGGTCTGCATGTATGTTTGCCTGCCTGCCGCGCTTTGAATACATAGGCATGCACATGTACACATATCCCTCTTGACATCTCTGACCATGCCAAGTTCCGACCGAGAGCATGGCAGCTTTGGATTTAGAGTTGTGGGCTTTAGAGTCAAGAGCTCTGAAGTCGAAACGTTGCGCTCTGAAGCCGCAAACTACTTGAAGTGTCAGGGCGCTTTTTGGGCACACATGCGACAGCAAAGTTCCATCTTGACCAATGTACTGCCCAAAACCCGGAACCGTCTGAACCGTTAAAGGTAGCCTAAACCCTAAACCCTAAACCGTAAAGGTAGCATTAATGCCTGCCTTATTTGGCCCAGGGCCACCACGCTCCTGCGCGAGGCCCCCTGGCAGGTGCCACACAACTCGGTCAAACACGGTTTAGTGTTTAGGGGTTTAGGGTTTTAGGGGTTTATATAGGTGTGGAGTTTAGGGGTTTAGGGTTTAGGGGTTTAGGGTTTTAGGGGTTTATAAGGTGTAGAGTTTAGGGGTTTAGGGTTTAAGGTTTAGGGTTTTAGGGGTTTATAAGGTGTAGAGTTTAGGGGTTTAGGGTTTAGGGTTTAGGGTTTTAGGGCTTAGGGGTTCTAGGGTTTTAGGGTTTTGGGGTGGAGGGAATCCCTCCCATCCTGACACCTCCCAAACTAAAAAGCCTCTGCCATGAAACTCTTACCTAATAGACTTACCCTAAGCCTCCAGGTACCTACTATATAGGGCCCTAGGGGCTCTAGTACCCTATATAGTAAGTACCTGGGGGGTTAGGGTTACACCGACATCATCACTCGACATTCTGGGGTTTTAAGGTATGAGACTAGCGATTCTCCATAGATGAGTCGCTGCCAGCATGGATGTTTTTGTTGAACTCCCTTTCTAGGACATACCGGGTACTACATTTACTTGGGACACTCCACATCAATACGCCCAAGTTGACTCCTGCCACCATCCTTCACTGACATGGGGTTGCTTTGTGTTGGGCATCCCGGACATCCTGTTGCTGCGGGGTCCTTATGCTACGGATCCTACTGTTCTGGGTCCCATATTTTCTGAAGCTCGTGCGTGGTTCCAGAGCGCGTTGATGCTGTTTGGCTCTACTTGGAGGTTCATGGGTCGTTATAAGTAGGGTTATAAGTCCCCTAATATGGCTAGTTACCCTACTTATAACCCCACTTATAACTACCCATGAACCTCCAAGTATGGCAGACATCATTTAGATAAACATGGGAGTCCCATGGTTCTCTACTACGGTGGCCCCCGCAACCCTGAACCCTTAAAGCCTAAACCCCGAGCCCTAAACCCGAAGCCTTAAAGCCCTGAGCCCTAAACTCTCCCTAAACCCGAGCCCTGGACCCTAAACCTCGAGGCCTAGACCCTAAGCCTTAAACCCTCAGCCCTCAGCCCTGAGCCATAAACCCTAAACCCCGAGACCCCAAACCCTAAACCCCCAAACCCTAAACCCCTAAACCCCTAAACCCTAAAGCCCTAAACCCCTAAGCCCAAAACCCTAAACCCTAAAGCCTAAACCCCGAGCCTGATCCCTACAGTCGCTACTCGGCTCGACTCTGGGTTTAGGCTGTCGTCAAAGGTCTTCTGTACGCTTGGAGATTGTTCCTAGGGATCCCTTTAGGGGTTCCTTTAAGGGTTCCTAGGGATCCTTTTAGGGTTCCTTTAAGGGTTCCTAGGGGTCCTTTAAGGCAACATGATCACGGTTTAGGGTTTATACAGGGTTTAGGAGTTTAGGGGTTATAGGGGCTTAGAGTTTAGGGCTTGGAGGCTTTGGGTTTCGGGGGTTTAGGGGCTCAGGAGTTCAGGGTTTAGGGCTCATAGGGTTTAGGGCATCTCTGCTGGGACTTCTTGGTGTGTAAGTATGAGATACCACCAAGCTCCGAGTTCATGCACAGGCAGGCAAGCCACAAAACCATACCAGCCTCAAGTGCTCAAGGAACAATATCCCTGAACCCCAAATCCTAAACCCCCCATTCCTAGACCCTCACAGCCCAGCTCTCTTGCCTAAGAGGACTGGGCTTCCGACTTGTCCAGCAAGTGAAGGGACTGCTGAAGGAGGCTGGCCCCCTCGGATTTTAGGGTTCCTTGAGGGCTCAGGGTAACCTGTCATGCTTTTACAGAGGTTTCGTAACGGGTGTTCCGAGTGTTGAGGAACCCTAAATCCTAAACCCCTAAACCCCTAAACCCTAAACCCTAAACCCTTAAAGCTCTAAAGCCCTAACCCTAAACCATAAACCCCCGGTTGAAGGCTTTAGGATTTCGGGCTTCAGGGCTGTGAGCTCCCGCAGCGGCAAGGTGCATTAGGGCTCCAGGGTTTACGTTTAGGGGTTTAGGGTTTAGGGTTTAGGGTGTAGAGGGCTTTTCTTGTAAGTCGCTTAGACGTAGCATGAAGGGCGGCTAGGGGAGAGGGTTGACCCCTAAAACCCTGAACGCTTCAACCCCGAACCCTCAACCCCTTATGGAACCCTCGCGGAACCCTTGCAGAAACCTTCAAGACCGCTTACAGAATCAGGGCCACGTGGAATCCCCAACCCATGGAGCCGATACCCTGTCTTCAGCTACCAAACCCTTCCTTTTTGAAGGCACCCTCCATATATTCGATGTTATACTTGGAGGTTCATGGGTAGTTATAAGTGGGGTTATAAGTAGGGTAACTCTAGTTATAACTTATAATTTATAACCCTTCTTATTCGGGTAATTAGAATCCGACTTATAACTACCCATGAACCTCCAAGTAGAGCTGATAATAAGAATCTGCAATAAAGTATAGGTTAGGGTCTACCGCTGAGGCTTAGGGTGACGACGGCCTTTAACTTTTCCTTCCTGATGTTGAACTCTGCTTGTCCGGATTCCTTTAAGGGGGCCTCTGAGGGTTCCTTTATGTTTAGTGCTCAGGCTTAGGGTTCAGGGCTTTCCAGGGCTTATAGTTGGCCATCAGCTTTGCTGAATGAACACAGAGATTTGGAAAGTTGCAGCCATGCCGGTCAAGCAGGACACGTACGTACAGGATCGGTCTTGAACTTGGTAAAAACTTTCTGCTCCGCTGTCACAATGATAGATGATTCATTGGCTTTGAGAAAACATACCCAGTCTTCAGCTATGCTGGCATGTTTGTGTGTGTCTCGCAACTCAACTTAACCATGTGCAGCAGGCCTGAACATTTAGGTTTGTATGTTTAGCATGTTTGTGCGCAAAGGCGTACCTACATTTTCAGGTATGAGCTTTGCTGTAACAAGGCAGAGACAAACCAAACACCCAATGAGCAAAGTGAGGGCCCTGTAACCCAAATAAAACTGCATATATATATATATACATACACATACACACACACACATACATGTACACACACACACGTATGCCTGTGTATATGGATATATTCATGCCATCGGCTCTCGTTACAGACTCCCAACCTAGCCGACCTAGGTGTATCATGCCAAGACTCCATTTCTGCTGAACTATCCTTGCCAATCCAAGCTTGGTGCCGGTCTTTTCCAAGTGGCAAGGAAAATGCGATGGTCTTGCGGGGCATTGCTGAGTGATCGAACCCTGCCAGTTCTTGCGACAGTCCCACCTCTAAGCCCTAAACCCGAAACCTTTGCACCCCTAAACCCCGAACCTCCTAAACTCTTACACCCTACACCATCCCTAAACCTCTAAACCCCTAAAACTCCTACACCTTAAACCCCACAGTGTAGGGCCTAAACCATCTCAAGGAAAAAACGCCCCGACGGCGAAGAGTGTAACCAGGCGATTTCTTACCTAGCAGTTTTTCGGTGTTGGAATATATTCTCAGCACAGAGTTCACGCTTCAGGACCTCGGCACTAGCAGTTTTCGAGAGGGTTGGATCACTCAAAAAAGCTTGTAGCTCATTCAGAGCCGCCGAAGTAAGGAAAGGTCGTTATCATCATCTGAATCGAGATCTCGATCCGCAAAGCGAGGTGTTAGAGAAAGCTCTCCAGTTTCGTTGCCTTCAAAGTAATTGTTCTGAATGCTTTCAAGAGAGGCTGGCATCAGAGCTTCATTGTTGCTGGGAAGCATGCTGCTGCCACAGTACACGCGGATGCCATACCCGGCGTTGCCGCAGATCGACGTTTCGGCAATTTTGGGCTGCGAGTTCCTCTCAATGAGAACCCCATGGCCTCCATGATGTTCCACGGAGCTTCCCCTCATCGATGCGTGAGCGTGGTCGGTGAATCGTATGCCATTGCCCCGTGACTTGCGAATGTGGCACTCGCTGAAGCGAGGTGCGGTACGCCCACCACTGACAAAAACTCCACCGTCTACAGTGCAGCGCACTAGGTGTAGCTGGCCCATGACAATGTACACGCACTGCCCGCGCATCTGTTCATTGCGGCAACGAAAAGTGATGTTCTCAATGCAAGCAGCCTCGCCAGAAGTGAATCCTCCCCAGCCCAGCATCTTGGGCATGTGGTACCCTCCCAGGCCCGCGGAGACAAGGGCACTCTCCCAGCCAGGAGCTTCCACAACAACATCCTAAGGTGCCACAGTAGCCCTTTAATGTTAATGATACAGATAAGGGCACCCTTTTTTCTACTAGTCGGCTAACCAGAAGACTCCCAAAAAAGGCAAAGGGGTACTGCTGGGAGACCTAGCCACATGGCTCGGCCCGAACCCCAGCACATAGCAGTTCTGAGTCACGCGGACCGTTTCGGAGTACAAGCCAGGACGGACCAACACGAGGCCCTGGCCGACATCGCCTTCCCTGGCAAGACGGTTCATCGCCGCATTGATGCTCTTCTCCTCATCCGGTACCACGACCACTTTCTGGAAACTCCGCTCCAGATACCACTTTAAGGAAAACTTGCGACAGGTCGCAATCGCTCCGCGAAGAAAGCTTAGAATTGGCAGCCTCTCAAAGATGCGAACGACCACTTCGCGTGGCAGATGGGGCAAGGAGCTGCCGTCTTGCATGATCCCCGAAGCTCAAGGTCTCAGGGTGTAGTAATATGTGTATGTACATATATATATATATACATATATGTGCATCTGTATATATATATATATAATATATATATATATACACGTGTATATATATATATAATACAAATGTACATGTATCAGCTTCGGGCAGATAGGTTCTTGCTATGAGGATTGGGGAGGAATCGGACACCAACAGATTTACAAGGCCTTATGAAGCAGAGGGGCTGGATGGTGCATCATGGATGAGCTGTGTGGTCGTGCTGCCGACCGTCATCATGTGGCCAGCACTGGCTTGCTGCATCATGTATCTTGAGCTCGCGCGTGCCAAAATCAACAGCCGCAAGTGCTAAACAAAGCCAACAACTTCTTCGCAGAACCACAACATCAACTCTGAAATAGAAAGCTGACCCACACGGCTGCAAGAGCCCTTGGAACGACTTGCAACTTGTCTGGACGAAGATCCCGGGGCGGAGTTTTGGCCCCCCAAGCCTAGGGTTTCACATTTAGGGGCTCTAGTAACAGGAGTACGGGGGGTTTTTGGCGTTGATGCAGAGTTGAAACATATGGTGAGTCCAGACCTCTAATCAGGGTTTCGGGCTTGGGGTTCAGGGTTTAGATGAGACAGGAAAGCTCCAAAACCCTGTAGGCCAAGAGAAGCGTGACTTGAAGGTGATGGGAAGCTGCAGGCACTGAAGGATCCAAAGCATGCTTCTGCAGCTTGGATTAGGCTGTGGCGCTTTAGAGTTGTAGGCTGAATGATTAGTAATGTAGCAGTGAACCAACGATCTTCGAAGTTCGCAACAGCAGCAGGAACTGCAAATGAGGGCCACTGGGGTCTACAGCAGCTCAACCCTCAGCCCCACCGAAGCCCAAAACAAACCTTGAACTAAACCGCAAAGGGTCTGTTAGCCGAGGGACTTGGCGACTATCATGGCTCCCTCGCCGCGACGGACAGATTTATGGGATGCAAGATATGGGCCGTCATCACTGGACTAATGACACTGGGGTTTGCAGTATACTAACTGCTTGCTGAAACTACAGACAGTCAGGTACGAATACCAATCCCGTAGTGACTGGGGTTCAGCTGAGTGCTTGAGGATTCATCGGGATGCAGAAAGTTGAAGTTGGCGTACGGCCCATGGGTGGTTCAGGAAGGAGAGCAGCCATGCGTTCCGGTTGCACTGCTCTGGGGCGTCGAAACTGGGAGGTCTCTGCATGTTTGCGGCACATGCGTTGGATGCGAGATTCTCCAGTATGTGAACGATCTCAACCTCTACAAGTACAAACCCTAAACCCTAAACTCTAAACCCCTAAACTTTAAACCCCTAACCCTGAACCCGTAAACCCTAAACCCTGAAGACTGAGCTTAGGATAGTTCAAGCTATTCGGGTGTAGAGCTCCGGGCCTGGGTTGTCAGGGTTTGCGCTTGAGGTTATCAAACCCCGAAAGGTCCATGCACCCAACAAGTACATACTTTGACCTAAAAGTAGTTGATATATATATATATATGTATATATATATACATATATATATATAAGAAATTGGGCCCACAGTATATACTGTTTGAGTGCATGGACCCTTGGGGAACTTGCGGAGGAAGTGGGCAGTGTCGTCTTTTGCCGAGGTGTACACGACAGAACCAAGTCCAGTCGCCGTATACAAGAGCTTGCATATATGCAGCAGTACAAGCAAGATACCTGCTACGAAAGGGCTACAAACCCTAGACCCTAAACCCCAGTTCTGCAGGGACTGTCGAACAGGATGATCCAGACCCCATTTCAGGGAACCAGCCTAACCCCAAGGCACAGAACCGGGAACCGCACCCAGTCTGCTACGCACTGGGATATAGCCCCTATATAAAGCACCGTACGGTTGTGCTCTGATCTTCGAGACCACAACGCCGACCCAGTGCAGAGTTGATTGAACCAGTTCGGGTGGAGGATGTAGGACTACCCCCAAAAGCTACTCGTCTAGGCATCGAGGCGAAATATGTACTGTCACGGAAGCAGAGCAGGTCTTGACAGACTGCTTTCCTCAATTGACTCGACAGCCGTTCAGATCGGATCCTGAAGAAAGGCTCACAAACTCCTATAGTCTCAAGTGCCCAAAGCCTTCCTTCCCGTTTATGTGGTGGTTGTAAGGTGCCTCTATGTGACAGGTGCCATGCCAGCAGCAAAGCCAGGGGAATCAGCCTCGGACCAGTGGCATCAGCAAGACGAGGTAGTACCGACAACTACTTCTACCAGCAATGCTACGCCCCGCGCTGCCTCAACAAAAAATGCGGAATCAGTGAGAGACGATGTCGTCATAGCGCTCAATGCACTGATCCCGAAGACCAAGCTCTGAACCCAAACTCCTCCGACAGACCACATCCTAAGGTCGAGCCCCGGGGATCCAAAGAGTCACCGTCCTGACCCGACAGACTGCAGAGCGAAAGCCTCCGAGGCCCCAGACACCAGAACCCCAAAGCCCTCTACAACCCATCCACCCCCAAAGAAGCCCTGAACCCGTAAACAACGATCTAAATCCTGCGGCTGTGAACCTCCAAGCCCAAGCCACCAAAACTTAAGCCTAAACCCTCTTAAGCCCTAACCTTTAAAGCCTAAACCCTAAACCTTTGAGCCCTAAACCCTAACCCCTTAAACCCTAACCCCTTAAACCCTAAGCCCTAAACCTTCAAGCCCTAAACCCTCTTAAGCCCTAAATGCCAAAGCCCTGACGAGCCCCGGGTTCCAAAAAGCAGGCCCCCGCCCTCAAACCCCAAGCTCTCAACCCAATAGACTTACAGTTGTATACCGAGTATGAACCCCAGCTCTGGAACCCCAAGACCTCGGAGGAGAGACCCAACACACCTCATGGCTCCTACACATGATGCTTTTATGCGTGTGCGCATACATAACTCTGTGTGTGTGTGTGTACATATATATGTATACAGAATTACAGTTATAAATAAACACACACACATATATATATATATATTGATAGAAAATGTGTAAGACACATCCACATGAATTTGCATAGCAGTATATATATGTATATATATATATATACATACACATGCACATGTATATCTGTACATACACATACGCTTGTGTATATACAGATACTGTGCTCTCTCCCTATCCCATATATACGTGACATAGTGCCAGGGTGGCAGGGAGTAAAGATATAATGATCGCATGATGCCTGTGTACAGAACGCTTCAACATAGCGCAGCAGCTCAATATACAAGTACTGTAGGGGCCTGAATAGTATGCTATAATCATACTAAGGAACCCCCCAACGTAGTATTGGCAATCATTACCTGTGGCCCTAAAAAACCTACCTGTTTTAAGGAGCTGTATATACATATATATATATATATATATGTATGTGTATATATATATAGGTCAGCCCCAACATTAGTGAAACCCTACACCCCAAACCCTAAACCCTAAGCCCATAACGTGAAACCCGTGGCTCTTAGCAGCTGAGCCCCTGGGCACTGCGCAGACAGCAGCAACGAGCCAGGTCCAAGAAAAAAGCTCCTTCGATCGGTCATAGAAATGGGGCTTCGGGAATTAGGGTTCAGGGTTTTAGAGATTTGCGGTTTGGATTAAGGATTTTGGGGTTTATGAGGATCCCAGGGTTTACGGTCAGGTTCAATTCTCGGAGTTGGATTCGACAGTAAGGCTTGTTGAGGGCCAAGCCGGCGTTCAGGCTTAAGTTTGAACTCAGGTGGACGAGCTTCTTCACTAGTTCACCGGCGTCTCGACAGTGCATGGGTTGTGGGTTGCTGGTCGACGGCCGATGCCGCCTAATTGCTTTAGAATCCCTTCTTCGGCACGCTGACTGTAACGCTTTGGCAATCCGTGCTGCGATCGTAAACATAGATTTGCACCAAAGTAAAATCGACACAGTCAGACTCTCCATCGAAAGGAAGCAACTGCTGACAAACACCGACCCTCGGGGACTAAAGTGCATGTTGAAGAACTTCAACTTGGGCCGTAAACAAAAACAAGCACAAAATAACGTCCTGCGTTCCCTGGTCACTGGTCCCTGTCCTAGACACTGATACTCTGATGCATGACACCAATAGGCTATGACAAGGCTCTGTACTGTTTAGGCGTTCGGGTATGGCCTAGGCTTCCATCAGCCAGTCCTACACATTCGCGCTATGAGCATACACTCAGAGAGCCCAATACTCCTTAATTACGGAATGTATACCTTAAATTATAGGGACCTTAATATCATGGTTTAAGGCAAATTCCCTAATTCAGGAATATACCTAAATTACAGGGACCTTAATATTATGGGTTTAAGGCATATATTCCTCAATTAAAGGGGGTATTGGGCTCCTCTGGACAAGCCTACTCTGACAGGTCCAGGTTCCTGATGCTTTGCCGTCCGATTGCTCCAACAGCGGTAACCATAAAAACACACAATGAGCTAGTTAATAGTTTCTCGTGTTCGATATTATAGTTAAAGCATACTCACTTTGAGCCGAACCCTAAACCCTAAAATCTAGACCCTAAACCCTGAACCCTTGCCCAACCACAGGAACCCTAAAAAGCCCAAAACCCTTTCAGCTCTAAGCGTTGAGTCGACTCTGAGGCCCATGCCCAATCAACCGTAAGCCAGAAGAAAAAGCCTAAACCCCCTGAGCCCTAAACC